GGGGGGGGGGGGGGGGGGGGGGGGGAGACTCTTTCCCAGTGTTGTAACGAGTTGAGTCATTGACTCGGACTCCAGTAGTTATTTTCAGCGACTCGAGTCCAATACGAAAAATGACTCAACTCGAATCAACTGCTGCCTTGTAGTACAGAGGGAATATTAAAGTGGTATCTGCCTGAATAGGTTAATTCAACTGTATCTTATTATTTCCATGACAAAAATTGATCATTCAATTCACTAAATAATTAAATAATTTCAAAACATTCCCTGGCAGTACAAAAAATAGCAAAATTAAACTTTGTGTTATTATAAGTTCGGGCTCAATTCCAATCAACTCCTAATTAGAGTTTCAAACCATTTCTAATTCGAACAATTGGATCTTGTGTGATTGTCTGCATTTTAGGGGCTGTTTACATGATCCCACTTTGCCGGGACAAGATGTATGTTTGCCGGGACAAGATTCTGATGTATTGAAATAAGTCACAATGCACGATTCAGCCAGACTAAATTATTTTTCAGGCAACAGATTCTAGTATAATTTAAAACGAAAGGTTGTTCAAGCAGCAATTATAATATTCTTGAACTGAGATGTTTTCAAATATATTAAATGTTCTCAAATAATTGCTTGACAACAATTGAGCTCTTCTAACTGGCATTTGAACTTTCGTTAAGCCTAGTAACTTGTTTCAATACATCAAAATCATCTTACCTTCCATCTCGTCCCGGCAAGCCGGGATGTATTAAAACAGCCCCTTTATAGTCAAATGCACAAGAGTAGATGAAAGTTGCCAAGCAAGAGTTTGGGTTTGTGTCACTTGGAAGCCAGAAATCTATTTAAGATGTGAAGAATCTCATTATTTGCACTGATTAAATATATGGTTAGGCCTTGAATTCTACAGCCTGCAAGAACCAGGCATTTAGTTCAACTGTCCTATGCCTATGTCCTGTAAAATTTAAGAAAAATTCGTTACAACCCGCAGGAGCACAACTCGTTTAAAAATCAGTAATTGCCGTAAAATTCTTCGGGAGAAAATTGAATTTGAATATTACATTTTCAATGTTTTTCTTATTGCAAGCGAAATGTATTGTATTAAATAACACTGCGAGTTTTCAACATTTTTCGTCCAAACTTGGTCAGATAGTAGAACTAGTCTAATGCTTTCATGCAATCCAATAAAAAAATTTTAGGCAAAATTAACACTCAAAGGTGTTCTGTAACCTTAAAGCAAGTCTTGCATTTTCGGTTCAGTTTTGAACCGAGATTTTCCGAAGTTGACAAGTCTCTCTTTCTCGCTCTGCCCGTCCATACTACGTCATGTAATGTACACTATAGTGGATCGATACTATATGACAGTGAAAGAGAGACTTGGAGCAAGTCTAGACTATCAGCGGCAATGAACTTACTGAAAAAATAAACGCTGTCTTCGTCGCTGTTATGCAACACCTGGACCCGTTATATAGCACTCCTGTTGGCATACAATATGAAATCGATTATCCTGAAATTCCATCTGAACTTTAATATTATTAGCGAAATTGACGTTTATCGCAAATTATCCACCATTTCAATTTAAAAGTCGTCGGGTCCTGAATCCTGATCACATATCTAACTGGGTCCTAAAGTCTAATTCTAAAACATCATTGGTCCCTCCATTAAAGATTTTGGGTATCACTACACTGTACCGGCCGCGTGAAAGCCTTTGCGACAAATTCTTTAGATAAAATATGAATAATGATAAAATAATGGATTTGTTTTCGGATCCATATATATAAAATTATGACTTAAGACTACCACGTAAATTTAATAATTATGTCTGTAAAACGGTCCGCTTTAAACATTCCTTTTTACCTCAAATGATTTTTAAAGAGAATAGTAGGATATGATCTCTATATAACCTAGTTATTTTAGGATTTATCAAAATTTATTCTTATATGTAATATAGTTAGTATAAGACTTTTTAGCCATAGTTTTACATTGTTAAAGAACTTCTGTAATTTAAAGGTGATCTACAGTCCGTATGTAAACAAAGCCTTTGTTTACATTTTTGTGTCCAAAATATTGAGCTTTATTCGACAACTATTTATATTTTCAAGCTTCTAGAGTATAATAAATGATCAAGAAACAACAATCGGGCTTTTCAAGAACTCAAAACATAATTAAACTGTTTGTATCATAAAAAGTGGGCTCTTTTGTGCACATGCACAGATCGGACTGTAGATCACCTTTAAGATTTTGGTTACAAAAAGTTCAGTATTAAAATAATAATAAAATTTAATTTTTAATTGATGTTTTTAATCCTTACGCTTTCTTGTGTAAAGTTCTAAACTCTGGTCACACGAGTTAAAAGAACGAGCGCTGTTAGGTGAGTTAATATGAAACTAGTTAGGGACCGGTCATTATTTATGACGGGGGGTGGCACCGAAGAGAAAAGGGTTGGGTAAACAAAATTTTGAGGGAGTAAAAGGTTGGGTAAATGAAAAACAAAACAACTCAAGGGTTGGGTAATAAAAATTTATTGTCATTTCCAAAGCATGGCTCACTGAAATATTGGAGACCAAAAAAGCACTGTCAACAGTCATATGTCAATACAATATGTAAATCAATCAGTGTCATTAATCATTTTCCGATTTGTTGGGAGACAAATGGTACTGTCTCCAAAGAAAGTACATGTGCAGACAACATTAAACTTTAGACTGCAGAAAATTACACAATCCGTTATCAAATTCATGTCACAGAAGTGGTAAAGGACATGTGTGACAACCGAATGGTATCCGTTTGGGAAATTTGTGAAGTTTTTGGCCAGGGGTGGGTATTTATTTCTTAATTGTTATTAGAGGTTGGGTAATCAAATTTTTGACTTTTTAATGGTTGGGTCAGCAAAATTTTTGCCACGAAAAACATTTCTCTTCAGTGCCATCCCTCACCATAAATAATGACCGGTCCCTTAGTTAATATGAAACTAGTTTTTCGTATCTCTGAGGATGGTTCTGAAATAGAATTCAAAAACTCATTAATAATTCAGGAAAACACAAAGAAAAATCATAAGCGTGTCGTGGTTTTATATGTGATAAAAAATCATGTTAATTTACATAAACTTTAGCTTTGATTTTCTCGGTTTAGACAAAGTTTATTTTAAAAATTACTTCGCCAATGAACTCGTATAAGATGAGTCGTTTTTGAAGCCATTTAAAGCACGCGTAGGAGTGTTTTATCACATACGGAATAGTATCCAATTACTCAAAATGTTCTCAGTTCATTCACGTACATAGAAACTACGCGTTAAGGGAGGGATCTGCAGATATGAACAGTGTCTGTCAATAAACACGATGTGCGGCGAATCCTGGTATTTGCATGTTAGATTTGCTTAACGAAACCAGGTATTTTTGGTTGTATTTGCATAACGATCTAGAACATTCTTCAGCTGGCATAACGATCTAAAACATTCGTCAGTTGGCTCAAGTGTCATCACATTCAATCCAAATACCAGCGGTATGCTGCATGTAGCGCTTTGTTTTCCGCAGTTTCACCGAAGAAACATACTACAAAAGTGTCTATATATTACACAAGCTAGAAGATAAATAAGGACATAATTGTACCACACACAAAAATTTCTTCTTGTCTTAATCTCGTTTATCATTCGACGAGATGGTGATATTCGTCCTGTATTATAATCTTCCAAGATGTCGTCAAATATGTTAATATAGGCAGCCAATGCTAAGCGTCCTCTAGGCAAGTTTCGAATCCAGTAAAGCAAATATCGCCACCAACTTGAATTGTCCAACAAATGTTTCTTAATGGCAATTGTATAGCTATAGTTAAACTTATCGCCATTTTGATTGTTGTATTCAAGAGCTTTCTCAAGTTGTGTTCTTGCTTCAGCTGGGTTTGCTTTTAATTTAAGTGTTGCAGAAAAGGCAAGTAATTGACGGTATTCTGAGGACGAGGAGGCGTCTGCTCCTAATACGTGTTCATACATGTTCAGAGATTTGTTCATACAATTTTCCACCAATTTCTCATACTCCCAGTACTTCCAAGGCTTAAAAGCGCATTCAGTTATGCCATAACAGTATACACCTGATAAATCGTTTAAGCAACCTGCTCTCCTAAAATTCTCACTATCTGGGACACAATTTGACAAACATTCAGTCGCTTCTTCGACAACTGCTCTCAGTTTCCAAAATTTATTCCCAAAAAAGCAAAAGTGAGCAAGCCAAACAAACCTGTTCATAATTTTGTCTTCCTCCTTGACATAGACATTTTTGGCCAAGTCAATCGACCTCTTCATCATTTCTACAGCAAGACCAACACTGTCCATGTTGTAATACGTCCGGGCTAAGTTGTACGAGATACGACATCTTAACAACAACCATTCCTTCTCACTTTTACCTTCCGTCATGAAATAAGCTTTACATAAGAAATTTAAAGCATCTTGATCACGATCCAGTTCTAGATAATAGAAGCCAAGATTCGCCAATATATCACAACGTCTCTCATCAGATAAGTCAAGCTCGGACGAAATATTATAGAGCAATTCTAAACTCTTGACAGCTTTCTCATGAGGTATGTCGGACGCTGAAAAAAGAAACTGACTGTCTTTCATGGAAATCAAGACAAATTCAGCTGTATCATTCCAGGACATATCATTGGCATGATCAACAAATGATTTCAGGTGAGGTCTCACAAGAACTTTAAGAAGTACGTCTTCTTTATACGTATTGTCCATGAAATCTAGTGTGTCATTCAGAGATTTCATCATTTTGACAAATTCAATTTCCCGCTGTTCAGCAGGTTTTGTATTTTCAACACTTTGAAAAGCATGATAAATGACCTGATGGCATTTTATTATTTCAACGTTCTGTGACCGTCCGTGAACGAGTAATGTACATCTTGAAATCTCGTTTTCAATTTCTGATATCCTGTCTTCCTTTGTCGCGGACTGTTTATCATTCTGGACTGGTAGATTTTCCATGACGTGGTGTGCTAATACATTCAAAGGAACTGGAAGCAATGCACAATATGAAAGAAACGAAAATGTCAGTCGCAGAACATCACTTGTTTCTGCCATTCGCTCCACAGCCATAGTAGTAGCAGTCATCATGGAAAAAGGATAAACATTGTTACTGGAAAATGTTCGGGATTCAAGTTTGGCACGTTCACGATACCGGTTTAGATATTCTTGCCATCCAAACTGCGTTGAAGCACGATCTTGTCTTGTTTCTCCAACATATGTTGCACAACACGCCAAAGCAAGAGGAAAAGAATGCAACTCTTTAATAATTTCTTCAGCAAAATCATCAACTTCAACATTACTGATGTCCTTCAGCAGTGCAAGAGCATCTTCTCTAGTCATCCCCTCGTTCAAGGACAATTTTTTTGCAAACTGGTGACAAGCTGGTACGAGATTATTATCTTGTGTTGTGATCAGGACCTGACCACCACCCCAGTCTTTGCCACCAGGTCGTGGAAAAAAATCGTTGAAATCATTCTTTCCAAATATGTCATCAATGATAAGAAGCCAAGCACCACTGTGGCTACGGAAATAATCTCTCAGGTTTTTCATCAGATCGATAAGACCATGATTTGTTAGCTCCATATCAACGGAAAATCGGAATTTTCGCATAGCTTCTTTTACTGATTTCATAACGGATTCTTCGGAGTTAGCATTTAATGTAATCACGAGAGGTTTGGATGTATCATTGGAAGATGTCGCATTTTCAAACTGTTCACCGTATTGTCGAGCTAACTCAGTTTTCCCAGATCCAGGTTGACCTGTCAGATAAACAGTTCTAACAACATCTTCATCATCAGTCATTGAAGAGAACAACGATTTAATTTCGTTTAATTCTTTTCTTCTTGTACGAGAAACATGAAATGGTTTGTCAGGATAAACATTTGCTATCTAGTGAAAAGTACAAAAACATCAAGTTAATTTAGATTTTGTTTATAGTTGTAGACATGTCTAGTTAGACAACTACTGAGACTGTAATACAAATACAATTCTAGTAATTCAGAGAAAACTTACAAGTTGGAACAAAATCTAAGATGTTTTTGGAAAGCTCAATTCAAAATTTACAATGTTGTTTCACTTCGATGCTGAGGTTCAAAAATATTAGATTTTGGTTATATTTGAAGACATGTGCAGTTACACAATTACTGAGAACGTAAGACGAATAGACTTACACCTGTATTCTAAAAACTCACTCACACTCACACTCAATGAGTGGAGGTTCAATCTGGGCTTTTCTTGAGTGTCAATGCTGTTTCTGAATAGCTGGAGGGTGTGTAGTCACATAGTAAGGTACGACACTAACCCTCCAGCTATTCAAAAACAGCATTGACACTCAAGAAAAACTGAGATTGAACCTCCACTCATTGAGTGTGAGTGAGCTTTTAGAATACGGGCGTAATTCAAACACAGACCTTGCGTCGCTTGTTAAGTTCGGGAAACTTCTTGTCTCCCTCGGTGCGTCAATCCCGCACGAATCTCCCAGACTGCAAGTATGCTTGTTATATGAACCAACTGAGAGTGCAGTTGTTCAGCTCTAACCGCAAGTTCATGTATATAGATATACTAAGGTGGTGCCATTGTAAGGTGTATAGAACTGGATTCTGTAGCTCATTTGGTTGGAGCACTACACCGGAATCGCGATTCCTGCAAGAGGTTGCTTTGCAACTGCTCCTGGTAATAACTGAATTTGTGAAATCATTAATAATTCATGAAGAAAACACAAACGAAATCATGAGCGTGAAGGAGTTTGTTAGTTTGTAAATCTGATACAGAAATCATGCTGATTTACATAAACTTTAAGTTCAATTTTCTCACCATTCATTTATTTGAACTGAACTGTTAAAGAGTACGAATGTTCTCATCGAGACGTTTCACAAGCTACATAAAGCGTTCGCGTCCGTGTTGTATCAGACATACAACCCTCTCGCATTCGGCTCGAGTAGGTAGGTAGGTAAAATACTAAAACTGTCTGTACCAGTGTTGGTAGTACCAATGTGAAAATGCTGTGCTGAGTGGTTATATTACTACCTTAAAAAATAAGCAGAAACTCGACGTTTCGAGCAAAGGCCCTTCGTCAAGAGCGAAGAGAGTTTCTAACTCTTGACGAAGGGCCTTCGCTCGAAACGTCGAGTTTCTGCTTATTTTTTAAGGGAGTAATATAACCACTCAGGTAGGTAAAACTTTATTTTACTACGCTAACCCCTACAGCAAAAGCTGATTTCCAAGGGGGGCGTAGCATTAACACCAAACACAAGGTTATTAAATAGATAGTAAATATTAATAGATTAAATAGTAAAGGTAAATATAGATTCGGGAACTCTAAGTAACCAGGTGTCATACGTTTTTGTTGAATATAGCTAGAGATCTCTTTTTAAATCGTAACGATGAGAACTGATCCACATACTCGTTAAATAAAAATTGCCAGTCAAAATCACATTCTTCCACCGGGTTGGGATAAAACGCGGATACGGACGGACGGACGGACACGCGGACGGACAGGCGGACGGACGGACAAAATGCGGATGCGGACAAAAGGGATAAAATGCGGATGCGGACAAAAGGGATAAAATGCGGATGCGGACAAAAAGGATAAAATGCAGACTGTTTCATTGCCCTAACATAATTCGTTATTCGGAGACACATTTCATAGACTTAGTACACTGTAAATTCCAGCTGGAGTTTCAGCCGCTTGCCTTGGGTTTTTTCTCCCCGTAGTAAAATACCATCATGGTGGTCTTGATTTCTGGCAACCTCGTTCCCAGGGCTTCAGTGTGAAGACGAGGCGAGACACGAGGAAGCCCTGGTCCGGTCCGGTCACGTGACGTCAAAAAATGGCAGTATTTGACAGCTACTCGTCAAGGAGTGGCGAGATATTCTTTAATAAAATATACAAGTCTTCGAAACAAATAAATAGCCAAAAGACTTCTCATTCGATATTATTTATGTGTAGAGCGAAGTTTGGCACGAATCAGCTAAAATCTATGAAGATCCCGTCTATGTTTTCGAAGATATACCAATATTTCTGCAGATTTTCAACTACAGGCAAAGCTGCATCGAAGCTGCATCTAGGCGTCTCCATGCAAGTGGTGATTCACACGAAATTTCCTTTCTCTCGTCTTCAACAATATGGCTATTGCTATAATTAATATTTAGTTTAAATATGCTCTTAAAGATCTGACTTAGTTCAATATAAATAAACACAAATATAAAACCTCGCGTAACCTGTTTACGCTGTACAGGAATATACGGATTCGCTTGTTTCGCCGGACACCAACACTTGCCGTTCAGGAGCAATGCTTGCCTACAAATTTTATCCCCTTCACAATCTTTGTTTTATTTTATCGTATAGTCGCAATTTTCAAGTATTCGGGGTATTCTGGAACTGTGAAACTCGGTGGCGTGACGAAGGACGCCAAGGCGTAGAGCTATTAAGTAAACAGGGCCTAAATTAATTTAGTAGTTTCATTTAATTGTTTGTCTTGCTTTTATTTGTCAGTACAGAATATTGT